AAATTTTGTCCAACATCACCTGCCACTTTGCAACTAGATAGGTACAAGAATGTAATTTTCAGTACTTACCCAATTGGTTATCAGAATATCCTAAACACTGTCACTACTAAATTAAAAAAAAAATCTGAATTTTGGATAGTGAAGCGTATGAATAAACCTCGATGCACCAGGGACCCAATTCAAGCTTCTCGACATGGGCAACACTGTGAAAAAGTTCCTTCAAACAAGTAGACTCCTTCCTCTTCCTCTGCAATGGGTCCTCCTCTTCACCCTCTTCAAAAGTAAAATTAAAATCAAAATTAAGAACTGCAGTGACAAGGGAAGCCACATTTCACAAGCTTATCTCATGGCACGATCCTAGAATTTTTAAATTTTGAATATATGGGGATATTATTTCAAGCCATACATCACGTTCATCATCATGGTTTAAGTTTTCTATGACCAATTTTCTCGATTTCACATTACGGATTTCCAGACGACGAAATCCAAAAAAATGGTAGAATTTCAAGCACTCCAAGTTAGGGCAACCAGATAATATATTCTCCATGACATCATCCGTCAAATACGTGTAACTAAATGAAAGAGAAACGATACCACTCCAGTTCACATTAGCTAAAGGGTTTAATGTACAGAACCCTAAATCCAAATTCCTCCACGACTTATTCTTATATGCAAACTGAGGAAACTCATATCCAGATTCACATTCAAGTTCAAAATCTTCAACATTTGCTAGTTTAGTTGCAAAATATATCCATAAATCGATATCCTTAACAAACCTCTCCGTCCTAGGAAAATCGACAATCAACTTGAACTTTCTGATTTTCTGGCAAGACCTCCAATAATGAAGCTCTCTATGCGTGAAAATTACGAAATCACGCATGCCCTTTTTCGGGGGGCCGGAATAGGAGGGATTTTCATGGAACATGAAATCGAGTGACACTGGAACAGACATCCAAAGAAACTGTCATCGCTTAGATAATACACTGGTTCTCACTACATTTTTACTGTCTTCACACAACATAGATAGAATGTTAATTAGGATTGAGTCGGACAAATCACTGAGTCGGTCTTCTCTCGACTTGATCATATTCGCCATTGGAGATTGGAGAAGGAGAAATGAAGAACTAATTTGGGGATTAGGGGTTTGGGTTATCACATTATGGCGGGTCAAATTTAAATTAGGGTTGTCTGCTTTGGCATATAAGGGAATTATGGTCTTTTATTGTGATTTCTCAGTTTTAGTTTATTTAACTTAGAGCTTGTTTGACATTGTTGCTGGAAGGTCAAAGTAACTTATTTTGAATAAAAATACACTTATTTTGAAAAAATGGAGTGTTTGAATAATTAGTAAAACTGTTTTTAAATAGAAACAAAAGCGGTAACACTTTTTCTAGTGTTGAGAAAAAGCTGAAAATTTCCGCTTTTTTTTTTAAAAAAGCAAAAGGATAAGCAGAATATTATTTATTGCAAGAACAAAATATTCTTGTCATATATACATATTTACCAATATATCTCCTATATTTATTTATTTTGTAATGAGTTTTTCGTATGTAATGATTTAATTTGTGAAATGATTTTTAAATTTATTTACTTGATATTTTAATTATACTTAAATTATCATGTAAATATTATATCAATATTTAATTTATTTTTTATTCATCTATATATAATATTGATTGAAAATTTAAATATGTACATTTTAATTTAATAAAATAAAAAATTAATTAATTTTTTTATAATAGATATTTAAAATAATTTCAATATTAAAAGTGCATTGATACTTGTCATTTTTTGTAATTTGACTCTCAAAGTACTTTTTTTTTTAAAAATAGTCAAACCCAATCCATTTATCAAAAGCATTTTTCAAATGAATTAATCAAACACAAATTGTTTTTTTTTTAAAACACTTTCCCGAAAAGTTAATTTTAAAAAAGTTTCTAAAAATAAGCAGCTTTTAGAAACAGTGTCAAACAAGCTCTCAGTCCTTTATATATTTTAAAATTACGGGGAAAAAAACTATAAACAACAATAATTAATAATTTAACATATTTTTAAAAAAACATATTGAAAATTTGATTGACTTTTGAAATTATATCGGTGACACATAAATTGGAACAGAGGAAATAATATATATTATTTGAAAATGATGTAAAAAGTACTATAAATCTCAATATTAACAACTTAGAAATATTTTTAAAAAATTGATTGACTCTTGAAATTCCATTTATGCCACATAAAAATTGGAACAAATGAAGTAAATATATTATTTGAAAATTTCTTAGTTTAGTGTACACGAAGTTGAGGTATATTTTGATTCAATTAATAACTATATTCAAATCACGTAGACTATTTAGGTGGATTCACCCACCCTAGCAGTACTCAATCCAATCATGCTTAATTATGTAGCTCTGTTGTGTTCTGATTGTGTAGAAATACCTTGTTTAGTGATGTATGTGAAGTGTGGACTAAGGACATCTCCAACCCAAACATCAAATTTTACACTAAATTTAGTGTCAGCATCAAATTTAGTGTAATCAACTCCAATCCACTGCACCAAATTTTACACCAAAAAAAGAAAAAAAAATTCTCTCTTCATTATTTTATTATTATTTCTTATTTCATTTATATTTTCTTATTTCATAAAACAAATTCTTTCTAAAACAATCATCATATATAGTTCATATTATTTCCTTTTATAATCGTTTAATATAAAATTATTTGTACCATAATTTTTAGATAATATAAATTGCTAGCAAATATTATACATTATACATAATAATGGATAATACAAATAAAAGTGAAATCATTAATGAAATACAATTAAATAAACATTACATAATTGAAAAAATTATTTTAAATTCTACATAAATATTCAACTTTCAAGATCACTACGGTGCTCCCATAAATGCTCTATTAATGCATTACGTATTTCAAAATGAACTTCTTTGTCCTTTATTTTTTTATATCGAGCTAGAAATTATTGAAATTGATAATTTTCATCTATTGCCATTTCTACGGTCGGAGTTGGACCTTCCGACGCATCTTGAATTGGTGCATTAAGATCACGTTCATCCTCAATTATCATATTGTGCATTATAATACAGGAAGTTAATATATCATGTAACACTTCTTTTCTCCAAAAACGTGACGGTCCTGCGATAATTGCAAAACAAGATTGCAAAACTCCAAATGCACATTCAACATCTTTTTGACATGATTCTTGTTTCATGGCAAAATATTTTTGTGAAGGTTAATTGTAGTTTATATAATTTATAGTAGAATTAACATAAATTTAATTTTTTTAAAAGTCATATATAGAAAAATTAATTTAATAAAAAAGCTAAATTTTATATCTAAAATTAATATTATAAAATATTACGTAAAAATAATTAAATATACAAGAGATTTAATTAAAACATACAATTTATATAATGTTTAATTAAAAGTTTGTATAATGAAATAATATTATAATATTCAAAAAAGTTATTTGGTGTGAAAAATTGGTGTGGGTTGGAGCTCAAAACACCAAATATAGGATTTTGGTGTAAAATTTGGTGTTGGGTTGGAGATGGTCTAAACAACAATAACATACCCTCATGAAGATATATATAAGTTGTTTTTGGAGGATACTTAGCTCGAGTACAACAAATTAAAATAGATACGAAAAGGAAAAACGATAGTGAAAGAAACACAACAACTAATTAAAGAAAATAGTGATAACAACAAAACAATGCAATAACCAAAACACACTAAACAATAAATAATGATTGAAATCAAAAGCAATACACTACGAGAATAAGATTAGTACTACGATAGACAACACTTAACTAAGTTAAGTCTCTTGTTCTTTTCCATGATATGTCTTGATTGTTGATATTATTATATGTAGGACTACTAACTGAGAACTTGTATGTAGTCTACTATGATAATATTCACATCAAGAGTAATCCATATGTCAGCACCTTCCTTGATGAGGAGGCCTGGAGGCCTCCTCATCTCCCTCTAGAGGCAAAACCAAGATTGAAGCTTCCGAGTTTTAAAATTACAATGTTTTTGAAACTATTGAATTTTAAATTAATAATATATATGTATTTAATAGATTTTTAAGACAAAATGTACATAAATTTGATCAAAAGTTATTGGGCTCGGCCAAATTCGTAGCCGGCTCTCTAGCTCCGCCCATGTTTCCTTCCAATTCTTTGTTTCGAAAAAGATTTAAGTGGGAGAGAGAAACTATTCTACTGTGTGAAAAGGTAGTGAGGAATTCAATATTTAAAGTTTCTTTTCCATCAATTAAAATAACGAGTTAATAACTTTGATGGTCACTCAACTATCAATTTTTTCCACAGAAAGTCACTCAACTTTCATTTTCAACTCAAAAGTCACTCAACTAGGACTTTTTTGCACAGAAAGTCACTCAACCTATTTAATTGTTTTTTCATTAAAATTTGCTGACATGGAATTTTAATTATATATTAACCAAAATTTTAAGAACCAAATATATATCCATTTAATGACTCCCCCCCCCCCCAATTTAACCCGACCCGCTAAAATATAATATTGAACTTTTTATTTTACCATTAATTCCCTAAATCATTCTCCCTTGTCTCCCACATTCTTTCCCTCTACATTCTTCTTCTCTTTTCTTTTTTAATTTTTCAATTTCAACTTCTTCTTCACATATCAATAATATATCAACCTCTCCTTTTGTGCTTTTCTGTTCTATGAAAAACCGGCAATGGCAGTTGCAGTAGTAAATTGAGTATGAGAAAAACATGAGATGTGAAAAAAATCTAAGGGATTTTAAAGAGAATGAGATATAGTGGGGCTTGCAAGAAAGGAGTTTGAATAGCCATTTTTATATTCAGTTGGTGTGTCAGTAAGTGCCAACTAGCAAATCATCGACTATTAAATGTGCCCCATAGCAAAATTTGTGATAATGTGCAGTTTACGATTTCTGGAACCAGTCCTCTAATTCCTCCACCGCCTCCCCCACAGATATGGTGGATCATCAGCACCCACCCATGATCCCTAAACCAAAAGCAAAGGTTCCATCTTCTAGAATGTTCTCTTGCCTCTACTGTTCTCGCAAGTTTTGCACTTCTCAAGCTCTTGGAGGACACCAGAATGCTCATAAGCGTGAAAGAGCCGCTTCTCACCGTAATATGTTCTCCACAACCACCGACTCCTCCGACCGTAACAACAATAATAGTAATATGGTCCGCCTCCATTTTCTTCAGAACAACAACGACATGGAGCCGCCCTCCCTCATCATGCCTCAACAAAATGGAAAAAAATTCTTTAGCCAGAGAAATGAAACTAATCTCGAGATCCAGAAACCTATCTATACGCCTAGCCTTAAGCAAAAGAAATCTCGTTAGCCCTACTATAGAGTAGAGGGAAAGAATGGAGGAGACAAGGGAGAATGATTTAAGGAATTAATGGTAAAATAAAAAGTTTAATATTATATTTTTAGCGGGTCGGATTAAATGGGGGGGGGGGGGTCATTAAATAATTAAAATTCTATGTCAGCAAATTTTAATGAAAAAAACAATTAAATAAGTTGAGTGACTTTTTGTGCAAAAAAGTCATAGTTGAGTGACTTTTGAATTGAAAATGAAAGTTAAGTGAAAGAATTGATAGTTGAGTGACCATCAAAGTTATTAACTCTTAAAATAACATTGGCCAAAGAAACAAGTTCTTGGACAAGTAATGAATCTTAAAGTACTATTTTGGGGAAATGATTCTCAAAACATAAATTTTCAGTATAAAAAGCATGATCAGGAGACAACAATATGAACTGAAATCACAAAACATTTAGAACAAGCTTTCTTACATGATGATTAGAGAATGAACACATTGTTTACTTAGACAAGAGAACTACTAATAACTCCTTGGATACACACAAGTGCAATCCAAGTCTTGTCTATCAGCTCAATCCAGTTTCAAACATAAAAGTGACAGATGTTAAGTATGTTGCGATTAATATAAACAATAGTGGCCAAAGGTTATCTTAGATAGAAGCAGGAAGCCAACTTATTAGGGCGGGTCAAATTCAAATTGAAAGGGATGTCTGTGCATCTAAGGGCATTTTGGTAATTTTTCTATGATTTCTTTGTTTTAATTTGTTTAGCTTTTTTCCCTCAAGTCTTTTTATATTTGAAAATTACGTAAAAATTATTATAAATTACGATAATTAACAAATTAATATATTTAAAAGGCATACAAATTTGAATTAAATTTAATAGTGTGTAACTTGATCTCATTAAATATACACATAAAATAAATCAAATAATATGTAACTTGACAAGTACATGTTATGATACAACAATTACCACACCGGACATTGCTCGCTTGCCAAATCACCCATTAGAGTAGTCTCCAATAAATGAGGAAGCAAAATTATTTACAAAGCTTTACAATGTGCGTGCAAGGACCTCAATTTCACCTATTTTTCTAAGATCTCACAACAAATATTTTACTATTCTAATTACATTTTATACTACCTTTTTTTGACAAAGCATTCGGATAGTCCTACTAAGTTGAGTCTATCTGAATCTTTAGTAAACTTTAGATATTTATCGTTCCATTTAATTAACATAATATCCTTTGATGACTCCTCCTCTAGTGAGAGACTCATAATTTGGATTGTACTCATGGGCAACCCACTTTTCCTCCTTGGGACTGTAGCGATACGTGAAGTTCTCATCAAACCTCCATTCACAAGGTCTCGAACGACTAACACACTCGTAGTTGGATTTAAACGCCACGAATGTCCCCATATTTGTGGAGCAATTGAACATTGTTGAAGTGGAGAAGAATTTTCTGATTTTGACAGTGATGTTGAAACTACCCATGATATTTAAGTGCTTAACATCACCATCTTCATCGAAGGAGAAACAACGAACGCTAAGATAATTTGTATGATTGTTGGTTATGACAACAATTTTCTCGTCTGGTAATCGTGCTACAACATTTAAGATATTTATATTGATCATGAACAAGAACAATATTGTTGTTGAGCTGATAGTTGCTGTAATTTTAATTTCTTCCATGGTGTATCTTACTTCTCTCCCTTTTTCCTCCGGCTATCCTTCTGAAACATGAAAATGTAAAAGAATAATTAGGAGAAATTAATAAAAAAAAATTAACACTTTTTATAGGTGTTTAATATTTCTCTTAAATTATATAGAGATAATATATAACACTTTTCGTTACCAGATATTAGTATCATTTGAGTTAAATCCTTTAATTAACATATGATTCATTACATTTAATTTTAATTAACAATAAAAACATTATTATTTTCGTCCATTTTTCGTATAAAATATGTTATTAGATTTAGATTTTAGAACTATATTACCATTAAATTTGATGTAACAACCACTTTAATATAATATTGGTAACGATAATTATACATAATTACAAATGTTTATCCAATAAAAATGTAGAAATCCTTGTTGAAAGAATTTAAATAAAACAGAGAAAATGTACCTTATATTTTTCTTATGAAGGGTTTTAGAAAGAGTTTTCAAACTTAACTAAGAATTCTTCTTTTTCCTCTCTCCTTGATTTTTGAATGATTGAACTTTTCCATGATTAGTATATATATAAAAACAAAAAGGCAAACAAGAGGGATAGAGTTCTTGTACGAGGTTTTAAATCTTTTACACCATTTAAAAGTTTTTTTACTATTTTTGATTATTTAACCTTCTAAAGAATAAAAAGAACATATCTCAATTTAGAACACAAACTTGTGATTCCTCTTATTTGTAGCAACACCAAATATAATTATATCATAATCCTAGAGATTTAAAAGGATATTACAATCTTTTTTATGTGGTGCTGATGAATTCATTGATTTGATAATGCGGTAAATTTTATGATTAAACTATTCTTAGCTTAAATTCTATTAAATGCTGACAATTTTGACAATCTCATAAATATTATGACAATGTTTTATGATTAACAAGTTTTATGTTAGATTATTTAGAAAGTATGTGTTGACACCCAATTTTGACCCTCCCCGATAGGAATTAATTCACGAGCTTCTTAAATTCCAAACGATTTAGAATAATTAGTTTTATAAAATTCAAATACTTTGCAAAGCCGTCTTAGGTGATTTTGGTCGATTTTCATAATTTATAAATAATATATATTTCATGTAATTTTATATATCTTATAATTAGTATATTTTTATAAAATATTTGGAAAATCATCTCGAAAAGATTTTTATTTTAAATATTCTATTAAAAGTAGTTTAGTTATATAATAGTTTATATTTCAAAATTCATTTAGTTTATAATTAAATTGATTATTTTATTTCGTTAAGATTAAGAAGCTTGTTAATTAGTTAATATTAATTTATCTTATTTGAGTTTTAGCTAATTTTATTAATTAAATTCAACTTTGGTTAAACTCAATTGGCCAAGTTTGCAATCCAATTAGTTTATTTGTCCAAAATCCAAGTGTAACCTTTCTTTTTTTTTTTTTTCTTCTTTTTTTGGTCTCCTTGTTGGTACCCAATTTTAAGGTTCAAATTTGGTCCCAAGTTGTGTTTGTCAAGAAGAAATCAATAGCAGTACGTACAGACAACGTTCTAGCCCACCAAATTTCCCATTTCTAATCCTAATTCCTAATTACAACAGCCCAGCCCCCTTCATCCGTTTTTCCCACTCCATTTTAATTTCTAGCAAATCCCACACTTTTTAATTCACAGCCCACTCCACTCCAATCCCCCGACCCGGCCCAAATCATTTTCCCTTCACAAAAGGAAGACCCATCTAATGTTAGCAGTGATAAAACTACAATAATCCCAGCAATACATATAACGTACAGCAGCTACACCGACCCCACCCCTGTTCATCTTCTTCACTCCAATGACAAGAATCCCAGAACATCGTACAGTAGGCAGCGATTCAGTCCTTGGGGCTGTGGGATCGATCCACGTCGCTCCCCAAGGACAATCGAATCATCTCAGCTGTCTGTCTCCCTTTCCTCTTCCGGAATGGGCGAAAATCGCAAGAAAAAGGTGCTTCACCGAATTGGTGAAAAGATTTTGAAATTTGATTTAATGGGCCTTGTTCTTATCCGAAAAACTCCCGCCTGATTTCCACCTTTTCTGCCCTAATTCCATTCCATATATACTCGCTCTTGATTCATTGTAAAAGGGGAGAAAAAAAGAAGAAGGGAGAGGGGCGTAAACAGACATATAGAGAGCGTTTTAGCGAACGGAAGAAGGAAAATAGATATAGGGATCTAGGAAAATACAGTGAAAACACAGTGAGGAGATATTTAGATTTGGGTTTCTTGTTTCACTCTTTGATTCCGTTCATCGTCGGAGTTTGAAATTATTGGTGAAAGTATCCTCTTAAGCTCGTTTTGTCCCACGTCGCTGCTCCGAAAGAGGTATGCCTCCTCATTCCGTTATCAAGTCTCATTCGGTAGTTAAGTTTAGTTTATTGTCTGGTTGTCGATTTAGTTCAACACTTTGTAGCTGGTATTAATTAGTGTGCTTGCATCGGTTGTCAAGGTTTGTTTATGTCTGATTCGGAGATCGTACTCCATTTTTGTCAAGATTATGTTTCCTTTCACACACACACACACATATATATATATATATATTCGTGTAACATTTCAATGATATCGTTAAGATCAATTAATGAGACTTGGACGGAAAGTGTTCTTGCCTCCATCATTAGCTTGGATCATTCCTATTTTTGGTGTTTTAGTCACACCTTTCAATGAATCCCTTAATTAAGTATGAGTGTTTTACTCGAAAAAATATAAATAAAAGAAAAATGACTAAGTTTTCGAAAAATCGATTAAACTTATGATCTAAGAGAAATTGAATTTCCAAAGAACAGAGTCGCCACTTAGTTTTTTTAGTAAAAATCAAGAAAAAACACTTAAGGTTTTCAAAAGATTTAAACAGATAAAATCAATTGAAAAAAAGGTTTGAGTTCAAATGTACATTATGAGAAAGTGTTAGGCCCTTGGAATGTCCGCTAACTTGTGGTTGACCGACGATTTGACTAAAATGACTTTGATTAATTTTAATTTTTAACTAAGTAAAAGAACTCATTTATTTTATTTTTATTTGTTTATTACTATTATTTTTCTAACTAATCATTTTTTAGGGGAAATAAATTAAAAGGGGGGGGGGGGGGTCATCCTAAAGGGAAGTAATTTAAATGACAAGACTAATAATAAAATAGAGTTGAGTAACAAATAAAATGTACAAAAATAAATATTTTTATTTTTAGATATAAAAGAGAAATGACTATTTTCGGGAAATTAATTAAATCAAACCAATTCACTTAAAAAAAAAGGGTTAGTCAATTCAAATACAAATATAGAACAAAGGGAGGAAATATCAAATTTGGGCCTTTGGCCCAAATTCAAAACTTGTCCTAATACTAAAAAGGAAAAATTACTTAAATACACAACACTTCTTTACATATTTTCAATATTTCCCTACTCTTTTACTAAAATACAAACATCCCTTATTTTCCCCCAATTCAACTTAACCGGATACTTTATTAGTTTAAGTATCCGCCCATATTAATTAAAGTATCCGCGCTGCTATATTATGCATCCGCCCGTTAATTTAAGTATCCGCCCGTATTAATTAAAGTATTCGCGCTGCTATATTATGCATCCGCCTGTTAATTTAAGTATCCGACCGTTATTAATTAAAGTATCTACGCTGCTATATTATGTATCCGAAAAACACTAAAAAAAGGAATTTTTTGGTAATTAATGAAAGAGTAGGGAAAGGAAGTAATTTCTTTCTTATACTATGTCATTTGCCTAATTTTTACTACTAAAAATGACCCAAAAATGGACCTTGCCCATTTTTACACCTGCTGCAAACTTCCTTGGGCCTTGGGCCCTCTTTTCATTCTCATTTGTCTTGATATACACTAGGTGTATATTTGATGTATACACCATGTATTTCGCTAATTCTCGAACTTCTGGACTTGTAATTTTATTCGAGCTCTGTATCTTTGCACTTCTCAATCTGTATTTTTGCATTTTGACCTGTATATCATATTTTCTGATGTATACAGTAGGTATATCAACCTGTTTTTGACTCTTTCCGAGCTTGAAAATTTAATTTTCAGCATTATCACGCTGCTTTCAACCAGTAAACCAATTTTGCTGACCCGGTAGTGAGGTTGACTCGAGTAAGAAGAGCAAATTTGGGCCTTTACGGCCCAAATCGGAATGCAAACGGGAATAGAGAAGTCCGTGAGGACCCAAGGC